GGGGGGGGGAGCAAGTACTAACCTACTTGCAGCTGATTAAAATTAGAATTCCCAACAATATTTCTATTAGTGCTTTGAAAAAAATTTGGTTTTATCAACGTGATAACATTACCCCAAACTTACAGACTTTTGTGGTGATTTATTTGAAGGGCACAGAAAATTAGAAAGACGTGTTTTGTATTTAAACAGTAATAAATATAACAAAGCAAGGACAGATATTGTCCTATCTTTGGCTTGAACACTAGCAAAAAGAAAAACAGCTTTAACTTTCTGTGAATTTAAGAGTTTCAGAAACCACAGACATTATCTAATTCATGTCTCAGGGCACCACTGCTGTAGCTGCAGCTTCCTTTCAGTTTTCCAATAGATCAAATAAAAATAATGACTTAGCTGAGAAATCAGACTACATGGGTGTTATAAAACCTCCTCGCAAGCATATTTTTATATCCCTGTGACTCCACGCCAGATACAATAGTCAACTGATTGCTCCTGATTTAAGCGGTGCCTTCCAAAACCCAACCTTACTGTATGTCAAAGACTATTGCAAAGGAAACTGTTGAAAAAGCTTTGCTGCAGCAAAACTGCACTTACAATACATTAAAAATGAACTACTCTTAATTATGTGCAATTCATGATTCTCCTCTCTTTATTTCTTCCCGACATCTTGAACGCTTCTTAGCCTCTCTGTACATAGAGCAAAACATTAAGTCATACACAGTTCTGCAGTAACTCTTTATCATGAAAGAAACCAAAACCTCGGGCTGCATCTAACACCTTCCCTTTAGTCTTTATCCATATGGCACGCTCTCCGAAGGCAACCACAGAAACCAACCTGTGTGTTTTGGAGCCCTCACATTTTAACACCTTGGCACAAAAAAATGACTGAGAGAGAGAGAGGTCAGCTTATTCAGGGCAATATTACAAAGAAAGAAAGGCTGCCTAAAAAGAGATTGGGGGTTGGGGGGGGGGAGGGCGGAGGCGGACACAGATACAACACTCTCCATCACATCACAGTCTCGGAATATATTTAAAGGCAAATGGAAAACTGCATCATTTTCATCCTCATTCGAAAACATCACACCCCAGCTGCTCAAGCTGGAGTTAACGCACTTCTCACATTTTAGTAGCACCGGGAATTTAGGCTCCAGGGCCAAGGCTTTCATCCTCCGAGAGCGACAGCACGGGCAATTAAGAGTGTGGGAGAAAGAACCCCCAGAGGAAACGAGGCCGCCTCTCCCTCCAAGTAAACTCTCAAGTCGACCCAAAACCAGCACGGCAAGGAATGACTTACTACTCATGGTCGTGAGGAGTGATAATAAGCGATATTAAGTTGGGCACTGAGCTCAGGTGGCAGGAGAGCACCAGAGGAGAGAAGGGAGGTGGCGTGGTTGGGCAGCGGGCACCCGCTGGCAATACAGGCTGGACGATCTGCGCTCCCAGGGACGCGCTGCGCGGTGACCGTGGGGGTGGAGGGCGGCTATGGGGGCTGGGAGGCAGACGGGCAGCACGCCTTTTTCCCTTACCAGGTTGAGCACGGTCTCCACGATGTCCCTGTTGCTGACCTCTCCGACCTGTATGAGTCCAATCAACACTGCGAATTTCATCCGGATGTTGCGGATCGGCACCGAAGGGTTAATCATCCCCGCGGGCAGCACCACCGAGCCGGAGCCGGACGCCCCCCTCGGCTCCCCCATCCCGCTGCCGCCACCGCCGCTGCCCCCGCCGCCTCCGCCTCCGGCCCCGACGGCGATGAGCCCCACGGGCTGAGGCTCGAGCCCCGGGCCCGGGCCCGGCTTCTCGCTCGCCATTTCCCCCCCTCCTGAGGAGAAGGGAAGAGCAGAGGCGCTGCCTCCGCCGGTACCGTTATACCTGCCGCGGCCCCCGCCCCCCGGCCGTCGCCTCGGAGCCCCAGCATCCACCAGCGCCGCTGCGCCGGCCCCGCTCCCCGCCTGCGCCTGAGCCCGGCCCGCTCCGGCGCCCTCCCCGGCGGAGGCGGTGGGTTATTTGCTGGCTTATTCCCGGCGGTGGCGGCGCCGCTAACCGCTGCCGGGCGAGCGGCAGTGTCCGCCCAGCAGCTGTGCCGCTGCCTCCTCTCTCTCCCCTTCCCGGTCCGTCCGGCCCGGCCCGCCCCCCGCGGAGATGCTGCAGCCGCTCCGAAGACCCCTGGGGCGCGAGCAGCTGGTCACGGCGCTGGCCGGTGCTGAGGTTCCGGCTGTGGCCGACGCTACTGACGCTGCTGCGGCCGCTGCTACCAGCGCCACTGTTGTTGTGAAGCCCCGACGCCGCCGCTCACTCCGCCATGTTGCCGCCCCCTGCCTGCGGTAGCGGCCACTGCGCCTGCGCAGCGCCTTCGGGGGCGGAGCCCTTGGTGCGCCCCCTCTTTTGCCCTGCCCTCCTTGTCTTTCCACCCACCCACCCCGACACCCCTCGTCCCTCCCCAAACCACCCTGAACGGATAGACAGGTGAGCAGGTGCATGGGGACCGCTGCCAGACACTGGGGCAAGTTGGCAGAGGCGGGGCGGGTGGTGGCTTCCTTGTAGTTTTTCCCAGGGGGTTGGATTCTCCCTGCGGGGAAGGACACAGTGAGTGTGTGTCCTGCTTTCGCTGCCACCTCCTCCTTCCCTCAACGTCCTCTTGCTAGGAGGAGGTTCATCATCTTAGTCTTCAGCGTCGCACCCAGCAGCTGCGACTGCCAGTGCCACGTGCCTTGGAAGGCAGGGGAGTGACAGACGACCTCTTTCTGCCCCTCTTCGCCCTTATTTGCAGTTCTGCCCGCCCGTTCCCCCTGGAATTTCTCAAAGAAAAAGTGGCCGGCAAAGCAGAAACAAGCGCTCCATGGGGAACGATCCTGCATTGTCGGGGGAAGATACAAATGAAGTGTAATGTCTTTTTCTACAGCCATGAAAGAGGCTGACACCTGCACACGCAGGCACGACTTAAAATAGAACTTGTCAAACAGTGATCTGCTCTGGATCGAGCTCTGAACAGCAAACGGCTCTTGAACTCACCTCCCAGCCTAGAAAGGCTGCACTGTGTGACACTGTGGGGTAGTTTGGTGGGAGCTACAAATCCCGCATATTAAAAATCCCTCATGATCCCCCTTCTGGTATAATGCCAATTAATGATGTTGCCTTCCTTTGCTTGGGCATGTACAGCTCAAGGGATTTTGAAATTATCTAAAAATATAGGTAATTCTGACTGCCAGCCTTGATCTGTGATAAAAGTACATTTCTGTGTCTGCAAAAATCTAGAAGCAAAAAAATACTTTTAGTTTAAAAAAATAAAATATACACAGTAATCTTGCTCTAGTACTGAATTCAAACTAAATAGGTGTTACTGCCATTTTCTTCCTCGAAATGAAGGATGTAATTTTCTCTAATATTTCATGAAGCATGCCCTTTTCAATAAAGATATATTAAAAACCACCAGAAATATTAGATATCTTGAGATATGTTGAAATCATTTTAATTGTCACTTAAATGAGAAGAGTCAACCTACAAATTTGTCATAATTTGGTTTGTTACTGTGCATATTTAATTACAATGACTAGTCAAGTTAACTCCCAGGATACTAGAACATGGTAAAATTCTAAAATATTATAGGTCATGTATAACAGAGTTCCTTAAAACCAGTGCTTAGGATTGATTTGTGTGTGTGTGTGTGTGTGTGTGTGTGTGTGTGTGTGTGCGCGCGCGCTTAAATTTCCACTGGAGAGACTGATTTATTAAAATAGTTAAGCAAACATTTCTGAAAAAAGTGGTAATTGATATGCCCACTAAAATTAAATAGCAATTGAATCATAAAATGCTAGAATGATTAAAAATGTATGGAAAATTTACAAAACCAAAAACTTTTAATAGTGTGACTTAGATATGCTATAAGTGAAAAATCTTGTGACATATATATCCACCTATAGCACTTGTCTGCCCCCAGTGTATATCATCTGTTTACTTTCACTAGCACTATTTTCATTTGCAAATTAAAAATGATATATCTACCTCATATATATAATCCATACTGAAAGGCCATCATGCTAACTTTTTTTCACTCCACTGTGCACATACATATATGACATATGTTCTGTTTTTATACGTCTTGCATGAGTGTTTCCAGAGACAGTGACAGCTTGAACTTTCTGTTTTCTTTCTGAATGAATAGCTTAACATCATTTTATATTTTTGTTTTAATTTTTTCTGTTTTGTTTGTTACACAGAATGTATGTGTGCGTGTTTGGCTTTGTTTTCCTTGTTTATTCATTTTCCTTTAGTAGAGATGAGAAGTGTGTATTGAGGATATCACTATTTCAAAGCAGGAAAAACCCACTTCTGTTGTATACTTAATTCAATATCAGAGATAGTTAAAGGAGCTTACCAATTAAAATGTGTTCTCCAGCACACTGTCAGCTCCTTGCAGGCAATGTGGTACTGTGGAAAAGGCATGAGCTTTTGAATCACACTCACTACTTATTACCTGTGCAGCCTACTCAAGTTACTGAGCACTCCTCAATTCACTAACAGGAATGAGAATTGAAATAACTTCAACTCAGCAGCCAGCATACGTTAAATGTGCCCTTGTCCCCTTAATATGCATGACCTATAAACACATGTAAGACCAATTACAACCACATAATTGAACAGTAATATGTTTTAATACTATCCCCAAAACATAAAGTTTAGGAAAGAAATCAGGTATGTTTCCTTTTAGCCTACAAAGCTTATTTCCCTACAAATGTACAATTAACTTAGTGTTTGCATTAACAATATTTTGAAATAAAAGCTATAGAATAGTAGAAACTACCTAAAATGTTCATTTTTAAATCTCCAGATGAAACAAAATTTATGTGGTGAATATTAATGTTGTATACATTTTTGCTTTAGTAAATGCATACCCATACTTCCAAAGGACAATCCTTCAAAGGTAAAAGCCCATGAATCTGAGTTTCAAGAGACAATATTGTGTGGTGGTTGAAAACACATGCACCAGATTCACTGGTACCTGGGTTTGGATTTCAGGTCCACCACCCACTTCCCTGTGTGATCTTGGACAAATGACTTCTCTTCAAAGCCTTAGTTTACCCAACCCAAAGTAGAGATTCATGGGATTGCAGGATGAAAGGACCTCATACATTTAAGGTACTTAATGTAGTATCAAGTATCAGTAAACAATGGTTCCCTTACTTGGCTGTGGGGAAAGACAATAGTGAGGTTATTTTTGTGTTTTCAGCACCTACCATGCCAGGCTTGTAATTTACATTTAATCAACCTGTTCAAAATGAATGAATGAAAACAGCACTTTTCCAAGCTAAATATCCCCGTTCCCTTCACCTGTACTTTAAAAAGCAGGTTTCTTGCTTTCGTCTACACTTGATCTGAACAGAGCACTCCAGATTCTAGGTAGGTTTAGGCCAGTAAAACAGAGGAAAACTGCTACCTGAACATCAACTTTTAGAAAAATAACTCCTGTTAAAGTAACCACAGATCAAATTGGTTCAATGTGATTTGGTTTGGTTCAGGGTTTTTCAGCAATATGACACTAATGATTCATGTTTGGCATGTAGTAGGTTCTCAAATAATGTTGGTTCCATTTCCATCTCATGTTAAAATTAGTATCAGCTGAAACACCAAGGATTTTGTTTTGTTGTTATTGTTTTGTTTCTAGACATGCTGCTGCTTAGCAGTAGCACATCTCCAATATGTAGCTTATGAATAGATTTTGAGATATAAAGTGCAGAAGTGTATATAGGTATCTATTTAATTTATTTTTATTCAAATTTTCTATTTGATTTTAAGCTGGTAATAATTTCTTCATTTTGATTATAGCATGCAAAAAAATTGTGTCATTCTTCTTATCTTATTGTCTTCAAATTTGAGAACAATTCTATATCTTCATCCAAATATTTGATTGAACAGGATAAAAACAGCTTTGTAGTCACTAAAAACATTCTGATTAAAATCAATTCTCATTTTCAAACTGAGTCCCAACCCATTAATGAGTCATGAAACAGACTTAGTAAGTTGCAACCAGCAGGTTTTTTTAAATGAAATAGAGTAGAAAAACATAAAATAGAAAATATCAACGTACACCCATTATTAAAATTATACATACACATATACGTATACATATACATACATATGTACATGTATGCTTACCAGGTAATGATTTAAAATTTATTTTTTACTGTAATTCGTAGTAAAAGAATGTGAAAACCACTGATTGAAATTGTTTACAAGCACCTGTTTGGTATAATCCTTCAACCATTAAATTGCTACAATTCTATGTTAACAACTAGCCTGTATTTTTCTAACTTGTCCAACAGACTATCATAAGGGAAATTGACACTGGCTAGTTGAAATCTGGAAACACTCTGTCACTGTCACTGTATCTAAGCAAATTAAAGTAAAAAACATATATAGAGAGATGTGAATTATCAAATTTTCCAATAACTATATCACAAACAAGAAAACGCTTTTAATCTGATAACACGATTTACTGCTTTCCTTTCTAATGAATGAAACTTTCTGTAATCTCACCTAGAGGTAATATTAAGCTAATTGTTGTGGGGTTTCAAGAATTTATCTCCTCCTTCCTTTGGCAGCTTAATCGTTTGTCACTTCTTCTCTGTGATTCCTCAAAGACCATTGAGAGTTGTTCAAGTGATCTAGTTTTCAGATTCTTTCAGGATCAATGGATATCATTTGTCCTGCATGAACAACTTGAAATCGTTTAGACTAGTTTGGTGCCTATTTTACAATTTCTTCACCAAACTTAAACTTCAGTTTCCTCCAACTGCTATTAGTTCTACCTTTTTTTGCTGCACTACTTTTTTCCTAAACATAAAATACAGATGCAACATAGAAATGCAATATGTGTTAACAAATTTGAACCAGTTTTGAAATGGCTAAAATGTTGATGTTTACCAACCAAGAAATATTTGAATGCCAACTGCGTGTAAAAATGTAGACTAGTCAAAAATCAATGATTTGAAATTTTCCACTTAGAGAAATATTGTATTTATATGTGGAAAGTGAATTAACAAGTCATTACATTAAAAATATCAAATGAATGGTACGGGAATAATAAGTACTCTTGAATTTCAAAAGAACTAGACACCATATAAACACCCTAACGCACACATGTACCCCCAAACATCCACATAAGTGTACACACAAATGCACCACACGCACATACACACTCATCAGATCGATCACACCTCTGCCCCTTCTTCCCTGGTAATATGTCTAGCATGTGTTTCATTCTTTTCCTTCTCACTGTCATCATCCAGTGAGATCCTGCTCACTTCATACCTGGTCTCCGCTCCACACTCGCTCTTTTCCAGTCCATCCTGTCCCT